AGAAGAAGAAGAAAAAAAAAGAAAACGGCTCCAGAGAGGCAGAGATGGAGCTGAAAGTCCCCTCCGCCCTTCTCCCTCAGAGTCCAGGGGGCCACGTCATGTGCCCGAGAGGCTCCTGCAAAGATGCGATTTCTTAAAGGGATACTCTGACCACTTTTGTTTGTTTTTTTCTTCTCTCTGCACTCCTCTTGTCACTCTGCGGCGGGGTAGAGGAATCCGCTTTGTGAAGATGATGATGTTGGCTGACCAGAGAGGCTTGGCTCGCGCTCGGGTTGTGTTCAGAGGCGATGAAAAAGGGCAGGAAAAGACACGCCCCCCTCTTTCAGATCAGGATCTCATGCCTGTGTTGTGTAATGCCATCTGATGAGTAACCTACTCCTTTTCCTATGTGGAAGTTCTGACCTCGGGTCACACTCGTGGGAAACTGGTGAAAACGGGGCCATAGCTGAAGCATCAGATCACGCAAATGAATAAGTCTTCTGGCTTTTCACACTATCTACACCATCATGTTTTGGAGATCTGAGCTGCAGAGATGTTTGCCTTCTCTTGAACATAATGGCGCTGTCTTGCTCCAAAAATCATGATTCGGTCACTACAAACCTCCTCATGAACAGTTTTGTGGGCGACGGGTTTTGTTTCCACTGAGCTACAACTGCTAAAAGTGTCACCCTGCAGTGGAAAGCGTCCATCTAGCCCCAAGGAGAGGCTCACGCCCATTACAGCGTGAGGGGAAGTCAGCTTCTTTCCATGCCACGTGTGTTTTCCTGGAGCTCCGTGCCACTTTATTACTCCAGTTTTATTATATCCAAGAGAAGTTTTGGTTGATGATGTCACAGGCAGCACAATCTCCAGACTGTTTCGTGTCTGTCATGTGTCTTTAAAATGAACCTGAGAGTGGGTGGTGGATTTGCAGTTGTAGTGTTGTCTGGGAATCCCCGTCTAACCGCATGGTGTTTGGGTGGGCTGTGAGCAGCGGGTCCCACTAAAGGACGTCAGGACCTCGTGCCACCCTTGTTGAGTCTGTTTAATCATACAAAGCAACCTGCTCGAGGTCATTTTGTATGGCTTTTCAAGGCTCACTCAAGGAGGCTGATACTTAAAACCCTTCTATGCTCTCCTCCACTAACAGCCTGTCTCCTGGTATCCCCTCCACACTCTCGAGATGCAGCTAACTTTCTCATACCAGTACTTATGAGGGGATGTGCCATCCTGGAGAAAGAGGACTACTCGTGCAACCTGAGATCAGAGAGAGCAATGCTCTGTTGTTGCCTCTCATTTCCAACCCATCCATTTTCTTCCTTTTATCCAATTCAGGGTCATAAAGGAGCTGGAGCATGTCCCAGCTGCCATAAAGCGACACCCTAGACTGTTGAAAAGCTAATACAAAATGATAAAAACCGTTCATAGCTATGTGCAATTTAGAATCACCATTTCACCCAAATGCATGTCTTTGGCAGGAAGTCAGACTACCCGGAGAGAGTGTGTGAAGAACACACACGTTTAAACCCCGACCCTTCTTACTGTGAGGCAAGAGTGCAAAGCAGAACCTGTTCTTGCTTTCCTTTGCACCAAACCAGCTGAAATGGACTCACTCGCAGTGGTTTCTGCTTCCTAAGCGGACAGACTGATATGCCTGAAGTTAAGGTTAAAAGGAAGCCCCGCTGTGTGCTGCGGTGAAATCCTCAAAACTTGCAAAATGCTTTTTTCCCCCTCGTTTGTTTTTTATATTTCTCCAGTAAATGATCAGAAAACAGAACAAACATGCAGGGAACCGATGCTTGTTTCTAGACCTTGTTTCTACATCATGACTATTAAACTGCTGCTGAAACTATGATGCATCCCATGATACTGATGCTCAAAAGTGGGTTACAGGAAAATCATACTGAACAGAAATCAGATTTTGTCTTCAGAGCGCAACGCTCGGAGTGGGTGTAAAATGAATTTGGTTGTGGTTACAGAGCTTCTTTTTCAGCCCTGAGAATTTCACAAGAACTTAAGGTGGTATAAGGGCTCGGAAATGCTGGAAAACAGAAGGCAAATTAAAAAGTACACCCCTGTGTACTTTTTAATTTGCCTTCTGTAAAGAATGGCTCCAATGTGCACTAATTATAAAAAAGCTTTTAATAGTACATGTCTGATTGTGAGGTGGATATGCTGGACTGTTGATAGACTCTGAGGGTGTCACAGAGATTTTGCTAAATCTCCAAATATATATATAAATCTCCTAGGGAATTTCAGGGCGGTGTACTCACCCACCTAAGTGGAGTATATTTAGTTCTGTTTGCTGATGTTAAAATGGCGATGTGCAGGTGTAATACTAAGATCCCACTGGGGTTAAAATACTACACCCACTGATATTTGTGTTTGCTATATGAGGCCTCGGGCTACGCGTTAGAAGAAACCCAACACACCTACATCGTTTCTGTGTTGAATTATCTTTAACTTTTTAATCACATGGCACAGCAGCAGCAACTCGGTTATTTGAATTGATCTTGTTTTTGTTAGATGGGTAACAGGGCGGCGCTTACACTGACTCATATTAATGTCAAAGAACTGCAGAAAGAAAAATCTGTGAAAATATCTGAGCTTTCTTCTCCATCCTCCTCCAGCGGGCATCAGATGGAGTTTAGTATGGAGGTCCATTTGTGCCAAAATTATGTTTCCATAGCTACACTCTGTGTCGACTGACTTTCTTTTCGACTTTGAACTGCACTTCAGTTTCGACTGAACACATTTTGTCTTTTGCCCCTGAATGTGTGATTTCAGAAACTTGGGTGTCGTTTTTGACAGTTTGATCATCACTGCAAACAGCTGGTTCAGAACAGTTTTATCATTATGGGGATATTTAAAAACTCAGAAGTCTGGTGTCAAAGGCTGAAGTTGAGATGATTATTCATACTTTTATCTCTTCCCATCCGTCCATCTACCCAGTGCTTGTAACCAAAGGTGAGGGTAGGGCCAAAGATCAAATGGTAAATCCACAGCTCCACTCAGCTCTCTCTTCACCACGCTGGTCCAGTTCAGCATCCACATCACTGCAGGAGCGGCTGTCAGTCCCCCGCTGCCCTCTCTCCTCACTCATCAATAAGACCGCAAGACACCTAAACTCCTCCAAGTTGGGCAGCCTTTTCCTAGCAATTTGTCACCAAATCAGAGCTAGTCAGTTAAAATGATTTTAATGCTACAGCAGTCGACATGGTGGTAAGTGTGAATTGCAGACTGTAAAATATATGGTCGATTCGCTCTCTGAAGCAGCCTGCCTCCAAAATTAAAAACCTTCAGTGGATTTAAAAACTCTTAAAGTTTGGCCAAAAATCCTGACACACGAACATAGTTTTGGCACAAATGGACCCTCGCAGAAAGTACTGTTTGTGTCAAACCAGCTACTCTAAAAAATCAGTCCTCACATCTGTGAGGCTAGACGACTGAAACAAAGGACTCGTGATCTGAGCTGTCACTGTAACGACCTGCTGGCTCAGATAAAATGACGTTAGGCATGTGTAATGTGTTTGAGCACTGCTGTGTCCCCATCTGGAAATCTGGGTCTGGAGCAGAGGTCTGCACATGTATTCAGCTTATGGAGAAGAAAGATTTGGGGATGTGGGGGGCGTGAGACGGTCTGACTTGGGAATTTCTGTTCCTCAGTTTTTTGTATCCTCCTCATTTTGAGACCCAGTTCTTTAAAGCGACCTCGTTTTTCACTCCGCACAGCCTCCGCTGACATGTTTGGCTCTGTTTGGAAATCTTGCTTCTTATTTTGATCTTCATTTTTGGGCCAATTGATGTCAAAACTGCTACTGGACAATCCAAAAACATTTCATGCCTACACTCAGCTGCCATTTTAATAGGTAAACAAAGTCAGCGCCTCCTACCACTGAAACTCCCCTCTCAGTCTGCTTACAGAAGTTAAACCAAACATTTAATCCCTGGGATATCTTAATATAAGAGAGAAAAAAAGTGCATTTTAAGCATTTTGTCTCAGTTTTTCTACACAATAAATATGTAGAGTTACAGAAACAGTTCTAGTAGCTCACTGCCCAGACTCTCTCCTGTTTTTTATGAAACACAATGTTTTGGTTAATTCACCTAAAACCTAAAACTGTTATTTAATGATTTATCTTAATTATTTTGTATATCAGCAGCGGGATATCAGCAGGAAAAGCTTAAAACGTATGATAATACAATTTAAAGTTTAAAATCTACGCTCTCCTTCACGTTTTCAAAAGCCTTTCAGTGGGCCGGATTGGAGTCTTTGCCAGGCCAATTCTGGTCCCCTCGGGCCTCATGTTTGGCACCTCTGCTCCACATGTTAAAAACCTGGCTGCAGTCAGTGAAGACTACCGTGGGTGTGTTCTGGCTCACAGTCTGCAAGGTGCTGCATGTGGCTGAGCTTAACACCTCTCCACGCAAGCTCCCCCAAACATAAAGTGAGGAAAGGAAGAACGCAAAAGTTTTCGGACACGAGCTCCCACTCGCTTCGATTATTTCGATTTTGCACATGCACGCGTGGGCACAAACAAGGCAGTCACGCGCGTTGTGGTGGTGGTGGTTGCGGTGATGCTGCATGAAGGAGCTGATCCATCCTTCTCTGTCCTCCTCCATCTTCTTCTCCTACTCCTCCTCTCTTCATCTCTCCCTCCATCAGACAGGTTTCCTCCAAGGGAAACACCAGACTGTTGCGCACTGTGTCGCTGCGTCAAGCCCGACATAAAAAGATCTGACGCGGGGTGAATCTTTTCACAATAAAAGCATGTTTGAAAATATTAAAAGGGTGTAAAGAGTAAAAGAAATGCTATCAAAGTGGCGATAACAGCGCAAAAAGGTCTCATAAAACAGAACCATGTTTCTATACGTGAAGCTGAAGCTGCATAAAACTATTCGGTTCAGGGGTTTTATATGTGCGAGTCCCCGATAAGAAACGCAGTAAATCCGGGCTTTAATTTTGAAGCTTTAACAGGAAATCTCGTCTGTCACACTCTTCCGATCTTGACTACAGTCCTCGCAGCAGCCGACTCTCTCCTCTCCACTGAAAAAAATAGAAAAAAAAATTCGCTTGCAGTCAAAAACAATGAGGGCGCACGACGCGCAACTCGCTCCGAGCCGCTCAGCCAGCAGCGCACTTTTACCTCCCGGAGGATCCGTGGCGTGTGGCTGTGCGCCACCCGGAGGGAGAAGGTCCACGGGGATATAACTTGACTGTCTGAGGAGTTTGATATTTTTGGAATCAGAGGAGGCGGGAGAGAGAAATCATGCCTTTTTGTAAACGCACGATATTTCCGAAAGATGTGTGCAAGCCCGACGGCAAGAGGCTGCAGCAGCAGCACCAGCAGGAGCAAGGGGAGATTTTCGGGGACTTGGCGGACGTGTGCAGCTTCACCCTGTGCTCGGTGCTCCGACAGCTCTCGGATTTGTCCCGGCACTCGGTGAGCATCCTGGAGGAGCTGGAGGGAGACCTTGTGTCCATCTGCCACCGGTCCTGCGCGCTGGAGGGCAGAGTGGTCCGACTGCAGAGGCACGTCGCAGAGCTGGTCAGCAAACCTCCACCGAGAAGTAAGAGAGATAAAAAAAAAGAAAAAAGAAAAAAAGAAGACGCTTAAGTTGAGCTGACGGAGCTCACACCTGCGCTCACTCCTGCATAAGGGCTCAGCTGTTTGTTGGTTTGTTTTTAGTCTTGTGTGTGGTGACTTGAGTGAAAGTTTTGTGGAGTCAGCGCGCGCTCTGACACTCTGGGGTTTCACTGTGACAGTCTCCACAGTGACAGAGGGCCAGCCCTGCACGTGCGCGTGAGCGAGTGTGAGGTTTGTTATTGTCAGCTGTCAGCAGAGCGCTCTGCCTTCAGTTACTGCGGGACACACCGCAGGTCACTTTGGGAAGATGAAACTACATGTTTGATTTAATTTGCTGACACGTGACGGTTGAGGAGGTGGAGTTCATGTCCGCTCGGCAGTGACCGAGGCTTCATAGCTGTTTGGGACGGCATGCGACTTTGGCTCAGGGGTGTGCAAGTTTACCAGATGCCCCTGAAAGCAGCACGTTGTGGGTGTGGAGAGTGGAATGTGAAGTGGGTGAAAATGCGTGGATGTCATGAGTGTTTTAGAGTTTTGTCGCTGTGGTCTTCCCTCTTGTTTATCTGTAAACACAGTTTGACCTCAGCTGCCGGCTCCTCTGCTTGCGTGAACGATGTGTGAGCAGAGGCGTGTAACTGTTTCCCGGGGAGGGGAAACTCTACTCTGATCCTAGGAGCTTGGAAAAAGCGACATACATAAGTTTGTTGAAGATGTTTCTTCAGTTCTAAAACCAAAAAGCGGAGAGGCTCAAGTATTTAAACCCTAGTGGGGTTTTCCCCTCAGGAGGTGGTTGTTGACCCACTATTAATCATGTGCGTCATCAGGTGAGCCAAGATGTGAGCTGTGAAAGCTGGAGTCTCATTAACAGGTTACTCTAGATTGTGGATTTTATAAGTGAGAGATTAGCAGAAGATTTAGATATTTGGTGTTTAGTTATCAGAGAAACCAAGATGTTCTGGGAATCTGTTGCAGGCACATGTTTCAGGCTCACCTGCAGCCCTGGGTACAAATACAGATGTGCTGCTTGAAATGTAAAAATACGAGTTTGTATTAATATGTGTTTTGCAAAGTGCTGAAATGAGGGTTAGGATTAAAGACTTTGCTAAAGGAAAAGTAAAGAATGAGTAAGGGGATTCAGTGCTTTTGACCACGTGCTTACATGGTCATCGTGTCAATCACAGTAGCTCAGAAAGTTTTGAATGAATTCTGATAAATCTGTGCAGGGGTGTAGAGTGACGTCATCTAACATTAAAGGGCCTTCAAGTTAAACTTCAAGGCCTTGCAGTATGATAGTGTGGTGTGTGTTGTCCAAATTATAGAAAGTACCATATAAAGATGTAAAACATCATGTCACGTTTGACCTCTGACCTCACCTTTGGGTTTCACATGTACCCTTCTTTCAGGTTGACCTCTAAAATATGTCATGTCTTGAAGGAAAATATTGCTAAGAGAGAGAAAAAGGTAATAATAAATTATCATACTGATAATTATGTCAGGTATATTAAAGGTAAATAACACAAAGTTGTTTTTTACACGTGCAAAGTGCAGGCTGCAAACTTAAAGTACATTCATGAATATATATACAAAATACAATAGAGTTCCCTTAAAAGTAAATATGGCCCACAGAGTGAGTTGCCTTGGCAGAGGTTTGTGCTCTCAGAGTACTTATTGTTACACTCAATGTATCGCTGTGTAGGTATCTGGGTGCCTAGAAAGAAGACAGCTGGACTTCTTTAGTTTCTTGAAGATCTCATGTACCATCCACACTTGTACCCTTAATAGATGTATATTAAGGGTACTTTACTAAAGTAGTTGATTAAATGTACTGAGTGACATCTTACCAAGGGTGCTGTCAGTATGATCATCCACTGGCGTTGGGCATGTTTTGAAGCATCCTTTATTCTAACTTTGAGTGTCGTGCTTGGTCTGTGTAGCAGACACATTTGAACCTATTCTGGCAGTTGTGGATTGGTTATGACTCTGGCAGATGTCTTGTGGTCCAGATGTGGTTTAAGAATCAACGAACCAGGCTTGACATGAGGTATGGCAGATGCCTGGGTGGGCCAGATGTGGCCCAAATGTCATGACACTTGGTATCTGGCCCTTATAAGATAGACATGTGGATGGCATCGGTAAAAGACCAAATAAGAAAAACCAAAAGAAAGATGCATATCAGTTCATAACCTCCAACGTGTATTATGGAGTATGTTCTTTCTGTTGTTGGTAATTAAGGATTTGTCATTAAAATAACAAAATGTACAAAGTGGACGATTTAGTGTAACACAAATTGAGTGGCCGTTTTCCCATTGGTTTCTTTGGGGTGGCTCATGTGGTAGAGTGGGTCGTTTACCAATTGGAAGGTCTGTGCCTCGATCCCTGGCTCCCCCAACCCCACATACGACACATACCAAGCATGTTGGTGCTGTAGCACTTGTGGCTGAGGTTATAGAGCAGGTTGCCTACCAATAGTCATCTCTGGCTTTTCCACTCCATGTGTCAAAGTGTCCTTGGGCAACATAGTGAACTGGACAGGAAGACCTTTACAGCCACGGCTTTCGCCCCCTGGTGGTCGTTAAAATAGAATGCAGCTTTAAGGGATTCCCTTGTTAGCTTCTCTTTTCAGACCTGGAAGTGTAATTCATCTTCTGTCCTGTGTATGGCAGGGACGTCAAACCCATTTTACACTGTGGGCCACATACATAAATACATACCAGACCACTGAAACTCGTCTTTCTGTGGGTGTGAGAAGTTTAACTGCACATTTAACCACCGAGATATCTAAACATATGAAAAAGACGACTTTATCAGTAGGAAAAGCTGTAAAACCAAATTAGAGTCATTTGAATAATAATACAGTTTTTCCTGCTCAAGCAGAATAACAGAAAAGAAGTGTAAACATCTGGCATGTATATGATTTAACTCTGGTCTCTGGTACAAGCTGCAAAAGTTTGCAGCTGAGTTTTCCCACCATTTAAAAGTAAAAAATATTCATTTTGTTTACAAGGGCTGGGCTGTGCACACATGAGACTGGTCTGATGAAAAATTATCTTCAGAGACACGAAACAAATAAGGGAAAATTAATTTCCTAGAGCACACATCAGCAGATTAAAAGTCATTATTACTTCTGCTGTGAGACTGTGCTGCGTGTGCCTACCAGTTACGACGGATTAGGGAGCGACACTTGAAAAGAGACAACCACGTGAGGACGTCGGTCAGAATTAGCATAAAGAGGGTTTGGTTTTGATTTTACACGTGGCAGTGGAATCAAACACATTCTGTGAAAAACAAAAGGCTGGAAATCGGTCCAATGACGCAATAAAAAAAACTGTTCTGTAATATCTAACACGTTTGTGGATGCTTTCATCTGATGGTACAGAGATGGCCAGATGCATGATGGGAAATTTGCACTGTGGTCGCGAGCCTGTTTTGCTCTGCAAACTTTGCACAAACTTATCGAAGGCAGCTTTGACTGTGTTTGCACTGCAGCTCGAGCGCGAGCCGATGAATAAAGCAAGCTGACTGTGAACATGAGTTTACGAGGCTGTCAGCAGGCCGTGTGTGTGTGTGTGTGTGTTTGTGAACACGTACAGCACGATAAGACAGAAAGAGAAAGTCCCTCTTAAAACAGACCAGATGTAGAGCTGGAAGGAGGAGAGGATGGGAGATAAAACAAATGCAGTTCATCCTCTGGTTTACTTTACAGAGACAAACTCACGCATGTGTTGGCCAGTGTGTGTGCGTGTGTTTTAATACATGAGCTCATCGGTGTTTGATGCTCCTCACTCTTCGCTCTCCTTTCTAAAATCCTGTGTGGGCTCTTACTGTATCGCTAACACGTGGGCCGAAGCGCACGGCTTAATAATCAATACAAGCCCGCCTGGGCCTTCATCTTCCATCGTCATCTGAACTTCACCGCCTCTTTCTCCCTCTCTCTTACCTCCTACTGTCTCAGCAAGGATGGAAAACACTGATTTGAATTTCACCAACAGAAAAATGAGGACTAAGTCTCCTTAAAGCACTTTGTATTGTAAGATAAGAACCCTACATTACTAAGAGTAACTCCAACAATCCAACAAACTTTGAGCAAGCACTTGGCGACAGCGGGGAGAAAAAACTCCCTTATAACAGGTAGAAACCTCCTGCAGAACCAGGCTCAGAGCCTGAGTGATGCTTAAAGCACTAAATCCTTTAAAAAAAAAAAATTTTTCTGCAATGAACACAAAGAGACGCTTTTACTTTTATTAATAAGACTCATAACTTTGTAAAGAATCAAAGCCCCCACCCCTCAGCAGTTGTAGTGGGTTTGTAATGTTGGCGGCTCTACTGTATAGAAGCTAGATTCTGGCTACTTTTTTTGAATATTTAAAGAAATAGAAACATAATTATTTTCCATCTGTTTCATTTTCCTTTGAGTTGTCTGTTTTATTAACTACTTTAGCCTCTTGCTAACGTTAGACTTGCAACAGTAGTAACTGCTTAGTTGATGATGATTTTATTCTTTGTGACTATTTTGCTTTAAAAAACTACACAAGGTGAAACAGACATTTTATGTCATTTTTGATACTTTCCTTTGATTTTTCTGGCAAATGTTCTGTTTAGCTTTCTGTTAGAGGCTCGTGACTAATGCTAAAATAGTATCTCTCATGACATCAGTGGAATCAGCAGTGGCCTAATTGTACATGCTTCGACTGAAGTTATAAGATAAAGATTAAACTCATCAGTTACACTCCCCTACTTTAAGTATAAATGCAGTAAAGCTGTTGCCGTAAACACTGGGAGATTTCCAGAGCAGCTGTGCCAATATTAGCTACAGTGTAAAGTCATGTTATAAGATTAGATATAGACTCGGCTGATTTTCAGTCAGTCTCACGTAAGTTCGATTATCAACCGGACACGTAGTAGTTACATTCATACTGTGAATGAGGAAGTCACAAATTTCAAAAGTGTTTGTAACAACAAACCGAATCTATACCAGCTAAATCA